AATGGGCTCTACAGCCATGCCCTGGCAGAAAAGCATGGCTGCAGAGTGCTTTAAAAGTGCCTGATTACACACAAAATTAATCCTCATTTAATGAGAGTTCCGATGAAGGCACTCCAAAGCAGACATGCAGCCTTTCTTGGATTGGATCCAAAGTGGAGCTTGATCCCCCAGACTCAACAGTGAACATCTCTTGGGTTGGGCAGGTTGGGGGGGGAAAATCACTGTAACTCATGACACTTTCTGTGAAGCACCATGAGTTACAGTGGGGTGCTATCCATCTGTCAGCACCCTAAGATTACCACCTCATTGTAAGCTGTCAATGCTAGATTCTGACTGTCATTGTATGCAACATTTGCAAGACTACACTAGAATACCATACCCACTTCGGTGCTTCAAGAAGGGTGCAGAAACACTGGAAAGAATTCCAAAAAGGGCCAACAAAAAGATCTGGGGACATGGAAATTAGTCTTATGCTGTGGGTACATCTACACAAGAAGTTTACTGCAGACCTGCCTAAGTAGCTGCAGTAAAATCTGTGTCTATACATGTATCCCTATTAGGTCACAGTAAATTAATAATAAACTCTGTCATTACTGTCAATTTTCCTTATATTGGTGCCAATCTGATATAGATTCATACATGCTAGGGTCAGAAGGGACCTCAATAGATTGAGTCTGACCTCCTGCCCCGCGCTGGAAGGAGTGCTGGGGTCTTGTGACCCCAGCAAGATGCCCTTCCAGCATTCTCTTCAAGACCCCAAGGTAGAGCACCACCTCCTTTGGAAGCCCATTCGAAATTCTGGCCAGCCTTCCTGTGAAAAAGTTCTTCCTGATGTCCAGCCTAAATCAGTTTGTGACCATTGTTCCTTGTTACCCCAAGAGGCGCCCTGGTGAACAGAGCATCTCTGATTCCTTGCTGCAGCCCGCTAATGAATTTGTAGGCAGCCACAAGATCACCTCTCAGCCTTCTCTTGCGGAGGCTGAAGAGTGCTAGTTTCCCCAATCTCTCCTCACAGGGTTTGACCTGCCAACACTTAACCATAGGAGTGGCCCTCCTCTGGACCCTCTCGAGGTTATCCACATCCTTCTTAAAGTACGGCACCCAAAACTGGATGCAGTATTCCAACTGTGGTCTGACTAATCCCGTATAGAGGGGAAGTATCACCTCCTTGGATCTATTTGTCATGCATCTCCTAATGTATGATAAAGTGCGGTTAGCTTTGCTGATGATTTCATCACACTGACAACTCATGTTCATCTTGGAATCCATTATGACTCCAAGATCCCTTTCTGCTTCTGTGCTGCTGAGAGGGTCATTCCCCAGCCAGTAAGTGTGCTGGATATTTTTATGCCCTAGGTGTAGCACTCTGCACTTGCCCTTGTTAAACTTCATCCTATTGTGTTCTGCCCACTTTTCCAGCATGTCCAGGTCTGGCCCCTTTGCCCCCTTTCCCTCACAATGGGATCATCTCCCTCTGCACCTGAAGGATCGCCCAGAATGACCACCCTTCCTGGACTCCTATCTCTCCAATACTCCTATCCTGCTATCCTCCTATATGGGACTGATGTATTGGTGCACCTCTAGCTCTTATGACTGCTCCTGTCTTGACCTAACCATAGTTGGACAAAATGTTAGTAATACAGTTTGTGAGTAGTAGTGAGAGAAGAACACAAAAGACTTGAGAAAGCAGTGTTACTGTAGCACCCCTAACGGAAGCTGAATATAGGGAACATTTACACCACTGTTTGTATAGAAAGACTAATATTTGTCCACAGCACAGTTCATGCTGTTGTCATATGCTCTTAATAAGATACTCATTTGAGCTTGTACTCTTTAAGATAAGGCCTCAATAAGGCTTTGTTGTATAATTAAACAAATTCCCTTGATGCTTTGTTTGTTGTATCAAGTATCCAGCTAAGCTCTGTAATACCCTTAGCATTGTAAACTACTAAGAATCACATAGTAAGGTGTCTTTTTTCCCCCTTTCTGTACTGAATTAATTGAATTGTGTGTCCTGAACTCTGTTTCCTCTTTTAAGAATACCAGACAAATACCAATAAGAATGATTTATGTACCAGGTAATGTGCTATTTTTTGGTACTTTACTTCTTTTCAAATAACCTTGTGAGCTAATTCTAGAAGTTATGTGTTTTAAACAAGGTAGCTATAAAAAAGAATGCATGAAGTCATATGTTGAACTTGCTGCATCTAATTTACTGAAACATTATAATAGACCAAGAATTGCTAGTGTATAGCATGTTACTAATAGTACTGGTCTTTTAGGCCCAGATCCAAGAAAGGGCTTAAGATATGGTGATGTTGAATGTTTACACGTCTAGAAGTAAGGCAAACCATTCTGGAAACCTCAAAGCTAAAAGCCCTCAACATAGGATTTTATGGGGAACCTTTTAAAAGAAGAGACCTGGTATAATTCTACAATACTACAAGAAAGAATAGGAGCCCTAAACTAGGTAAACCTTGAGAATAAATGAAGGGATGCTATGGGTCCCCATATGAGATGTTACCTAAAATGATCTATAAGGTCCATCTGAGGAGATGTAAAAGAGGCAAGATTTCAATGTGGCTAGCATTGGAGCATATAGCTGTAAAAACAAAAACTGAACAAGTTGTGACAGAAACAAGATTTCCACCAAAGCAAAATGGCTTGAATCTTTCCTAGACAACATATTCCACAGTAAAAATATGGACTTATAAGTGGCTCACTAAAAGAATCCCCTTCATAAGTTGTTGGCAACCTGGCAGGAAGAGAAATCCCAATGATTTGGATGGAAGTAAAATCAGTTTGGTTTGGTGATCTGTAAAAATCCTGTCAGAAAAATACTTAGTAAACTATTAGACCTGCATTATTTGCAATCTGATTTTTTTTCTCTGTATCAGTGATGTTAAAATAGCTCTGCTAGACCTCAAAAGAAAGAACAGAAATGTCAGGACATTATGAAAAGAATGCCAACTGGCAGGGGTATACAAATAATGATGCCATAATGGCCATGTATGTATATTTGGGTTTTCATTCTAATCCAACATTAAAATACTTTGTTGACTAATAAATTGGTCTCGTTTAGAAATGGCTGTCCTGCATCACGACAAACATCTGTCAGCTGCATCCCAAAGGATGAGGTCTCTAAAAGAAGTTTAGATCTTTATAATTCATTAAAGCAGTGGTGCAGAAGCCAGTCACAAAATAATGAAGTCTTAGCAAAAACTTGAGATATAAGACCTAGTACTAAATTGGTTTCTCCCCTATAATGGGAACAATCTACAGGACCCCAAATATTGGCTAACCACTTATGTCAACATAGCTAACAAATGTCTGGCTAAAATATTCTTATTTTGACATGTGCCTATTAAAAACAGAACAATGAATTTAGAAGGAGAAAGAGAAACAAAAAATGTTAATGCCAAAACAAATAATAAGATACAAACCCACCTTCTATTCTCAGACAGCTATAGTAATAAAATATATTCACAATAAAATAAAAATAACATAATATTCACAAAAATATTCACAATAAAATAAAAATAACAAATCAAAGTTATAATGCCTTGGAACATGGTAAAAATAACAAGGAAAGTCCACAACAGATATTTATAGACAATATTCAATGGGCTAAGAATCCCACTTTAGAATGCATCAAAGCAAAGAAAGGTATAACCATTAGTGCATTGTGCATATTTAGTGTCACTTATTGAAAGATGTAGAAACCTAACTATAATGTCAAACACCAAAAAGGAAGTGGTCTTATGGAGTGAGTCCCAAGAGGTAGTAAAGTGTTCATTTCCCCTGGTGAATTACTTTCTTTCTCCCATTTTTCATCTAGCTATCCAAGAAATAGACTCTCTTACTATGCACATGTAGAGTGGTAACATAAAGGGGCTCTGGTTCTGGCTGAGCCTTCTGGGCACAGATAACAATATTAGTAATATAAAGTAATATATGACAATAAACCTTTAACCTTTTGCTGCTTACAGTTAAATCGTCACAGACTCTTCTAACACTATAGCATACCAAAGAATACTAACATTATTACATGATGGAATGATTTCTATACTTTTTCAAAGTTTTATATGATATTTAGCGTGATCTTTTTAAGCACATATACTTCTAGCACTAGCAAGTGGGTTCTCCTATTACTCTGCTTTTTTATTCTTTAGAATGAATTATGTCCTTCCAAAATCCACACACAAATGCAATTCAGCTGGCCCTGATCCACAAAGTTTGGATCAGGATCTGAACATCCTCAAATACCAAAAAACAATATTTCGCTGTCAAATTACTTTTACTTTAAAAAACAGTAAAAAAAAAAAAAAAAGTCTATCATTTCACACATATGTGATAAAATTACATGTAAATAATGCCTTCTCTGCACAAAGCTATATGTCTATTTTTTCAATAGAAGGGGAAAAAGGCAAAAGTATGTGAAGCCAACATACTGATAAGTAAAATAAACAAGATAGTATATTGTAATATGAGAATAGAACAGAACATCACTCTAGCACAGAAAAGGCTAACTTTTAAAAGAACTAACAGACCACTAATTAATATATTTTATTCATTTTCCATACCAATATATTTAATATGCTAATATGCGAAATGGCCTTTCAGTCACTGTCATTCAGTTTACTTGTTCACTGAAAATTGCGAAGTAAAATTAAGCTTTCCAGTTAAATTATACATCTTTTGATTTATTCTGTCTTTGGATAGAAAGACAAGCAAGTTCTAATCTAGGCGTGTAATCACTATAAACAGCAGTCACTAAAGTATTCAGACTAATTCAGTTCAACTCTGAGTTTGAAATATTTAAAATAAACCTCCTCATGGGCTCTCAAAATCAGTGCAGGTATGTATGTCTAAAGCACACTCAGATCTAACATTTTATATACAGATAAGGGGCACTGAATTAATACATCAGTGAAGTTTGAATGCAACATGACAGTGAGAGTGTTGTTAGTGAAAAATGGTGGGAAACTATAGGTGGGTACCTCCTTCATCAGATGGCCTTGTTACCTCACTGCTGTAAGAAAAGCTAGAGTTCATCTCAGAACCATCTAATTTGTCATCCCCCAGATTCATGCCAATAGCACTGGTAGAATGGAAATGCTGTTTATTGTAATGGCTTGCTTTTTCTACAAAAGGGAAAAGAATGGCTCAGTAAATAAATCATAACAGAACAAAATAGACAGCAAATGATTAATGTACCAATAGCCTGAAATTATAAAAGGTGAACTTCAACCAATTTCACAATCAGAAAGTTGACTGGGACTCTAAAAGTCTAAACGGAAGCAGAGAAAGGAAAGAAAACTTCTAATGAAAAATGAAGGTGTTATTCTATCTCTGTAGCATACTTAATTCTCTCAACTAGAAAACTGGTCTATATGTTTTTAAATTGGATCACTATTCATAAAAATGGCAAGTTGTGTAAGTCACACAGAAGGTAGGGTAAGGTGACACCTTAAGCTAAGTGCAGACATTCAGGGGGGCTAGGGAGAATTTAGATCATGCTAAAAATGGCCACCCAATCTAAGGTAAATCAAGATGGGGAGGACTGGGGAGACGGGGGGCAAGCAGACTCGGGGGGGTGGGGGATTTGGGGATCTGTGGGAGGATATGGGGACAAACACAATCCACAGGAGTGATATGGGGTCAGATATGATCTGTGAGGTGATGGAGGGGCATGTGGCATCTGCGAGAGGGAATTGGGGGACTCGGTGGAGGGGGCAGGCAGCATCTGCAGGAGTAATCAGGGGGCAGACAGGGTCTGCGGGGAGTTGCTGGGGTCTGGGAGGATTTGGCAGGATCAGGGCGGCTCACAGGAACCCTGGGAGAACTAGAGGCTATTTTTTGCTCCTGACCCCCCCACCCCAAAGTCTCTTGCCCCTCCTACCAATGATACTTATCTTCTCTTCTCCCAGTGGCACCATGAGCAACTTGTGGGATGGAGTATTTGTGGGGTGGGGTGATGGGCTGTGGGGAGATAAAAATTGTGCAATTCTAGAGGGGAGGGGAGGAAAAGCACAGCCCCAGGGCTGCACAGATAACTGTGCAGAAGTTTGATGCACCTGTCTAAACTAGATAGATTAAGTTTAAGTGTACATTGATCCAAGTCTATCTTAAACCAGGATCCACCAGTTTTAAACTAGTCTGTGTTTGTGGAACTTCTGTACACTTATAAGTTTATATTGATTTTCATTCACTGAGACTGGGTATAAGTGCAAGGTCTGCACTGGGGGGCAAACTAAGTTAGATCAGGTGGCCATTTTTTACCCAGTCTAACCTCCCCCTATTTCCCACAAATGTCTGCACTTAGCCTTACAGATTAACCGGTTCAGAGAAGTGTAAGCTTTCGTATGTAACAACCTACTTTGTCAGATGCTATGCAGATGGCAAAGTAAGTTGTTGCCTGCAAAAGCTCATGCCTCTAAATTAGTTGGTCTCAAAGGTGCTTTCCCTGCCCTACCCTATATTGGATCACCATCCATGTAAGACTTTCAATTCAAACTTATTTGAGTAAAAATCCCCAAAAATATCATACAGCATGAATTATGAGTGATCTATCTGAAACTGAGCGTGTGTTTACATGACATGACCATATAGTGCCATGCCCAAATGTTCAAGATAACACCACACGTACACACATAACTATACTAGTCCTGATACCCAAGCTGCTTTGGGTGTATAAATTCCATGTACAAGCAATTCTAGATCATTTACACTGTTTTTTAGGCCTGATTTATTAACCTTGGCTGGAAAGAAAAAACATGTGATGTATTGTTTGGAAATAGCTATTTTTAATCCAAAATGTAGACAATTTTGATAGAATACTGAATGTAAAAGAACTGGAAAATATGTGAGATTAATACTTTCTTAGCTATAATGCCATTATTATTTTTACTGTGGTAGTCAGTGCAGCAAAAGCTGGCTGAATTCACCTATATTTAATATAATTCAGCTGTGATCCCATGATTCATTTTCCTGTAGGCAATTTATTCCTCCATATGACTTCTGAAACCTCACTCACATGATGATTATTTCCATGATTATAATTAAGCTTCTAAAATGTGTTCATTAGAAAATAATTTTCTAGAACTTACAACTAAGATGAGAAAGATTTGCTCTAGCCTGAATATCTTAATTTAATAACAAATTTTCTTCAGTAATTTTCAAATATAATCAATTCAGGAAAAGAAGTGATCACTAAAATGAGCACATTTTTTCATTTCACAGCAGGATGTATGTCACTGAGCACACTGCAGAAGTTAGGAGTTCAGAATCTTCCTGCAACATGGTAGCATTTCTCGTTGCCTTAGCAGTCACTGTATTTTCAGTGTGTATGAGAGGAGAGACAGAGAGAGAAAGACTATTTAAAGCCTTTAAAATACTGTTAATATGGCTGGAAAGTGTTTAAACAAAGCTTATGGAAAGTTTTAGGATGCTTATGTAAACAAAGCATTTATAGCCTAATGATAGTCTTCTAGTCAAGTGTACTGTAAAAATGGGGTGTATCCCTAAAGAAAAATCTGGCTACTTATTAGGACCTAATCAAGGATTCAAGGGTGGTGCAGGCACCTACCCTGGATATCTTCAAAAGGAGACTGGACACACTTTGCTGGGGTTATTGGACCCCAGCAGTCTTTCCTGCACAGAGGACGGGGGCTGGACCTGATGATCTCACGAGATCCCTTTCAGCCCTAAAATCCCATGGATCCCTGAATCTGTGACTAACTGCAGTCAGTTGGAATCCCTCCATTGACTTCACTGAGCTTTAGCCTCTACCATGGGTATTTAAGATTTCCATAGATACTTCCAGTATTTACTCAAATCCAAGATAAGGTTTTTTTCCCCAATTTAACAATCTAGGAAGGCAGGCACCTCCTGCAGCTCTAACTCCAGCCCAGACCTGGGCTCAGGCTCAGAGCCACAGCTACTACCCTCCCTCTGCCCCCCTTGCCTGTTCCCCTGCCATCACCACTTACCCTCCAGCACCAGCCCAGGGCACAAAGCACATGCTGGTTCAGGCCCTGGCCCCGGCCTGGTCACATAGCAGCTGTGGCAGTGGCAGGAGCCGGACGCCTGCCGCCACCACTTGGGGGGGGGCACTTTGGGGGTTGGCCCTGCCACTGCCACAACTGCTGCTGCATGACTGGGCAGGGACCAGAGTGCACATGTGCTCTATTTCTGGGTTGGAGCAGGGTCAGTGGATAAGCGGTGGGGGCAGAGGCTATGGTGGGGAGGGGTGCAGAGGCAGTGGGGGAGAGAGGGGCAGAAACAGCAGGGAGCATAAGGATGGATGACAAGCACTAGAAGGTGGCAAGGCAAAAGAGGGTAAGTTGTGAGAGGGGGACAGATGCCAGGGCGTGCAGGCACCATGGCAGGGTCAGGGGCCAAGAGATGCAGGGACTCACCCAGTGCAGGCATGAGGAGGCAGATAGGAGGGGGGGATAGGTGCCAGGGCACAGGGCAGGCACCATGGGGGCAAGTGTTGAGTGAGGACAGGAGGCAGAGGGCAAGGGGCAGGGAACAGGCTACTTGACTACCCCACTGCCTGCCCCCCAGTCACTGCTTGTCCCACTGTAGCAGTGGGTGAGACAAATTGAAGATGACTGTCCAATAATTAGATTCTATATATGGAAATTATAATAAATGTATACAATGTCCATATATTGAGTCTAATTATTTGGGGGGTTCTCTTCAATTCAAAGTTGTCTTGGATTTAAGTAAATAAAATAGGTATTTTGGAAAAATATATAGCCATGAAAGATTATGCAGAAATTGTTTTCAATATATTTCTAATATTTAGGAAATTACATGCTTAAGTGTACTTTTCAAAAAGACCAGAGGTGAGATCATGGTCCCATTAAAATCAATGGCAATATTCCCATTGACTTCTATGAGCCCAGAATTTCACTTCATAACTCACTCCAGTGGTTTCCAATATGTGCCCGCCTATAAAAAGCGAGCTATTGTTAAGAAATGAATCTATAAATATATGTTCTAAACTCTTGTTTAAATAGAAACACAAAACCCAGTCAATTTCCCCTACTACTCTTTTCAACATTAATGGAAATGTTTTTAACCAAATTCTATTTAAAACATTAGATAAAGATGTTTGTGGGTGCTATTAGACCAGTTTTGTGTTGGGAGGGATACAGACAATCTTTCAAGCACCAAGTATCTTTCCTCAGATCTCCCTCCCTGAGAAAGAACACTTGGTACCCATAAACTTGTCTATATCCCTCCCAGCTATACAGCTGGTCCAATAAATGATATAATTTACAAAAATCCTTGCCTCTTGCATTTTTCCTGGACCACCATAGCTATAGAATCATCCCAACACTATTTAAAACACTGAAGATGGTAAAGAAATAAATGTGGGAATTTAATATAGGAAAAAAAGTAATTTGAAATCAAGCTGTAGTATATGTTTCCTATTGTTTTATCCTTCTCCTCTTTCTACCTGTCACTGGGTGCATCTACATGAGATGCCCACTGCAGAGTCATTTAGTACTTGCATAACCAAGGACTAAACAAATGTGCAGTAACTGGCACTACTACACAGTAGCATCCCAGCCCAGTAGCCTAATGACACTGCGCAGTACTTCATTACTACTGTGCAGTAGCATCACATAGTGGTTCATGCTCGGCCACACTACAGCACAGTAGTAACGAGCTACTGCACAGTAAGCATCTTGTGTAGACACACCCAGTCTGTCTTTAGACTGTGCACTTCTTGGAATGGAAAATGTCTCTTCTTGTATATTTGGAAATACCTTCACATGGTGAATGCGACTGTATCAGATGCAAACAGGTACCAGATGCAAACAAATCAGAACTTGTAGGTCACTGTGACTTGTAAAAAAGTTACACAAGTTCCTTGAAATCCATTATATGGACATGTCTAAAGTTTTAGTGAATTCCATTTATTTGAAAATCCCCTTTACAAAGAGTACAAGGGTTTTCAGCACACATGGAATTAATTTGGTTTACTCTAACTGGAAGTAGTAATGCCAGTTCATGACAGAAATGTTTTTGCTGTTTTTTGTTTGTGCATATGATTAGTCAATTGCTTCAAGGAGCTAATTTTTAAAATGCAACAGTTTTAAAATGAAAGGAAAAAAAATAACAGATGGTTAGCCTATCAACCTGAAAGTTTACTATGATAGCTCTACATACAAAAATGTAAAAGGACGATTTGGGCAAAACTCAAAATATAAGCAATACCAGAAAGCATACGCAGACTCCTAGACTGAATATTGTCTTCCAGAGGATCAATGTCGAAGATGGACCCAGGATCTGTGCGCCAAACTTTGAGGTCTTCTCACAAAGAAAGAAGACAGACAGCAGTGATATAAATAAAAGCATGAGATCAAGGAGTTTAAAGAACAGTGATTGTGTTATTCCTTGTTATAGTTATTAACAGAAAGATCTAGACATTCGTGGACTAAAGGCATTTGTTTCCTATTAAAAGTAACTTGTTCCATTCATTTTAAGTGTTATACATCATTCCAGAATGGATTAGATACAACTGATCTTACCTTAGAGTAGCAGGTGATTACCTCTCAAAATCCCTGTCCTGACCTATTTTCTATAATTTTTAGAGGACAGTTTTTTTACTTTACTTCTAATTTTACCAAGCATGACAGTAACATTACATATGACTATATTAATTAAATATTTTTTAAAGTATCTTATTAAATATCCATTTATATTCTAAATGCTTTTTTTTTTTTTTTTATAACAAAACCCACCCACTGTCCACAACAGTCACTTCCTTCTTCTGTGACTTAACTGTTATTTGTTTGCCTACCTAGAAGTTAAGTTCCTTGGGGCACCATCCCCTATCTTAGCTAAAACTACTCTTGGAATTCATCTTATGAATATAGTAAGAGGAATGAAAATGACCTCTTTCCTCGTAACTTGTACATGGACCTCACCGCAAATTCTGAAGTTCACAAGCCTGAACTGGTTAGTTTAGGAGAGAGATTTGCACATTAAAAGGTTACAATTTATAGTTAGATTCCAAGTATTAATAATTTGCTAAAGATTAATAAATGATTAAGAAATGTCTTAATATATTTTAATGACTATAACTATTTAAAACTTTTATAACTATTTGTAATAAATATAAACTATAACCACAGGCCTAAAGTTCAATAACAACAATGTTTATAACCAATCAACACCTCTGATGAACAGCTCACAACAATCTGTGACATACCAGTAAAATAATTTATAAACTTTTACAACCTATTTTAAAATAGACCTTATTATAAAGCGTGGCCAATTAAAAGATGAATTCATCAGATCATATACTTACCCTAGTGCAGGGCCAGACAAAGTCTGGCCCACAGGCTGGATCTGGCCAGCAGTGAACTCTATTTCCCAGCAGTCCCTGCACACGTGGTTAGGGCTGTTTTCCATGGAGACCCCAGCAACAGCCATGCTGTGACCGCATGGGGCCGGTGTTTCCATGGAGACTGGCCCCAGCAGCACTGGCAGGCAGCAGTGGTGCCGGCCTCTTCCTGGTGGTGGTACCAAGGGGGAACTGTGCTGCAGGCAGGAGCAGGGCAGGCTCAGCTGCCACTGCCTGTGCAGGGTGGGCAATGGTAGAGGTGGAGGCAGCAGTACCACTGAGAGGGGTGGCTATGGGGGGCCACAGGGAATTTAGGGGTGGCTACAGGCCCCTCAACCCCCCAATACTGCCTTTGCTGGCAGGGCAAAGAGTGGCTCCAGACCCAGCTGGGATCTTGTGGCAGTGACAGCATGATCCAGAACCAGGCCACAGCCACAATCTGCAACCCAAATGCTCCAGGCAGGGATGTGCAGTCGGGAGATTGTGGCTCTTCCCTGGCTCTGAACCATGCTGTCACCACTGCAATATCCCAACCCAGCTCTGGAGCAGCCCCACACCCTGCTATGTGCCCTGCCAGTGCTGCTGGGGCCAGTCTCTACAGAAATCCCAGATTCGTGCTATCCCAGTGAGGCTGCTGCTGGGATCTCTGTGGAAACTGACCCCAGCCACGCAGGAAATGGAGTCTGGTTGCTGACTGGATCTGCCATTTTGCCCACACCTGCCTTGGTGTCTGCTTGCTAGGTGAGCCCAATATGTTAGAGGTGGGAAAATGACTTGTCTTTCCAACCTGGTCCCACTACTGGGGGAAAGTGATATCAAGCTACCTTATAGGCTGGTAGGCAAAGTAGAACTATGGGGACCCCTGATATGTGGCACCTAAAGGTGACACAAGTAGTTATACCCAACAAACCAAATTCCACAGCCTCAGATCAAGATTCCATGTTATCTACTGTACTGTAGCCTTACTGTGGAATACAATGCAGATCCCCACTGAATTAATTAATTAAATTTCAATATTCAGTCTTTTGATAAAGTGTGTGTTGGCTTTAGTAGTGACAAATTAGTCATCTCTGAAAAGCACTGATAGGCATGAAGGGGAGGAGGGATTGGTTAGTTCCCTGTATCTCACACTTTATTGTGTAGTTTTGTTTTTTTTTTAACTTAAAAATTTGGTTGCACAGGGCATTTGTATCCTATCATAAACTTTATATTACTTTTACTCATAATCTCCATCAAAACATATAAAACAATAATCTTGGCAATTTATGTCACCAAATGGCTCTCATCAATTTCTTTGCTACTTCTATCTGAATGAAAATATCCTCTTTGGGTGTGTGGCAAACCTGGACTTCTTTTATTTTACAGAGCCACAGACATGAGAATTAATTTATTTTGAAGTCTTTGTAATGTCTTTTTAGGATTAAGAAACATGTTCATTTTCCAGAGCACAGTCATTACATTTAAGCAAAGTTATTAGGACTTTACTTATTATATGTTGGAAGCCCACTAGAAGGTTTCTAATACAGAAGTATTTTTCCTAAGTGGCTGAATATGAATCAGCCACGGAAAAGCTTAAGAAGTGTTATAGCTGTTTTCTGAGTCTGTGATCTTTGCTAACTGCCAAGAACATTCTTTGAACAATGAGGCCATTGCTTCTGTTTAAACAAGTAGCATTTACTGAAATATCAGTGGAAGTAAAGCTTTCAAGTTGTCATAGCTATTTCTTTTAAATAACTGCAATGTTTTTATTCAAAGAATGGTATGTTTTTTGCGGTGTGTTAAAGGATTTATATTTGACAAATGATATTCAACTTTGCTTCAATAGTGTTATATGTAGGTGGGGAGCTGCAGTGGGAGATGAGCTCAGGCATAATTAACATGAGGGTATAACACTGAAAACATTTCTTGTTATATCCATGGATACATTGGTGAATTACATGTATGCCAAGCTACAAAAAGACTGCAATACTTCAATTGCTAAGGGGTTTAGAATGTGGCTCTTCAACAAGCATCTGCTGTGGAAATGAGAGGTTTGCTCTGGCCTTAAAGTCTTTCTGGCAGGCAAGCAATACCCCTGAATATGTTGTGTTACCTTAGATGCCAGAATGTGCAACTTTCAAAGGCTTGCATTAGCTTGAGAGTTTCAGATGCCTTTCATTAGACAGAGCTCTCCCAGGTAATAAAAGCCACTTGTAACTATGTATTCTTGATATTTAAACTACAGTCAACCCTAATCTAAATTATCCTTATTATTAGGTAAAGCCATCTCTAGAAAGAACATGTTGGGGATTCTTGTCACCTATAATCCTGTCAGGAATGATAAAGAGAGGACAACCACAAAGAGAACAAAGAATAACGCCAGGTATTCACTTCCATTTTCCATTACATTTCTAAACTTGTAGAATTATTTTGTTTTGATTTTGAATATTCCTCATAAAAACATAAGGGGGAGAATTTAACTTAAATATTTTGTCTTAAGACCTTAAAGTGATGGTCCGGGCATCTATTGTGTCTACTTCTTTCCTTCTAACCCCTCTTGGCCTTAACCTAGACACTATTTTTTTACAGAGGATATTCTCAAACTGTCGCCTGTGACCTACATAATGTATGATGAGATAGTCATGATCCACAAATTGAAATATTTTGAGACCCATGAAAAATATTGGGATGATGGGTACCACAAATATGTGGAGCTCCAAGACAGAGAGTAGGCCTTCCATAAAAGGATGATTTCACTTGTGAGCTGCTCAGCAGCTTACATCTTAGCAAACCGCCATTTCAGAGAGAGACAAGATTACTTGAAATGAAGAATACTGCAGCCCTAGACCTCTCTGAAATAGTGAAAGGCTGTTGCATACATATTCACGTGAAAGAAAAACTGCAGAGATTCATAAAACCATCTCTCTCTAAATTTCAGACACTCCAGTTAATATTTTATAACTTCAGAATACAAATTATCTTATTAAAAACTGCCTTTTTCCTGACAGAGAACAAGTTTCACACCACAAAATTTGGACTAAGAATGAAAGTGTTTGATCACTAGATAAATACATAAGAGAAGTGATTCCAGTTTTACACAACAAAATAAAGGAAGTTACACTTCACATATTTCTGCCTCCCCAAGCATTCAAAGGATGAACCTGAATTCTCTCAGAACTAATCTATACCAGGTTGGCAAAGTCAACTTCCTTTGTGATTATTTATCCTTCTTATTAACTACTTTAAAGTCACTTAAATATAATAATAATGTATTCCTTATGGATAGATGTAGCAGATGTAACACTTCTTATATTACAGTGCAATTTGCCTTTTCTTATTGTTTGGGAAAGTCAATTAATATCTAGTAAAATTCTGTCATTTTATTATTTGATTGCTTAATGTCCTCATTAAGTTGAAACTGATGAAGTGTCTATAGTCAGCTATTTTGCCAGACAATCACTCTCTGAAACACCAATTCTGACCAATAGTTTCAATCTTAAAAAAAAAAAAAATCTTCACACAAAATAATGAATTGAAATAATATATGTTGCCCTGAAAGGTTAGTAAAAGAAATTTAACTCCAATATCACAATCAAAGGAAAGAAAAATGAAAAACAGAGATATGTTTTCTTGATTATAAGGAGAAGATTGAGCAGTGCTTTTCATTTTCAGCAACAATCTTTGGATGGGAAAGCTGTTTTTCAACTTACCAACAATTATTCCAGGTCTCCTATCCATTTCGACTATATGTGGATGGACTCCTTTGTATGCAGCATCACTCATAACCTGAGTGTTTTTCCTCACCCTCTCCGTCACAGGATCATCCACCACTGGAGTGAAACCTCTGCCCTTTGTCTTCTCAAAATCTTCATGATATTTCACCTGGAAAATATAAGGAGTGATTTTTTTCCTCCTAGCCATGACTGATCTTAACTGATCTAAAGGTTATGGGCATATAAACAATTAATGTGAGCTAACACAAGGTAGGGATATTTATTGTGTCAGAGGCTGCATGAAAACTATTCATGTATATACCCAATCCTGCAATAAGTACAAGGTAAACCACAGCAACTTAGTTTTTAATGAAAGAGAGCTAAATTTCTATATTTTAGCTTTTACCTACCATGGGTTCAGAGCATGCATATAGATAGTTACCAAAGAACACTTAACACATGGTAAAACTCTAGCTCCTTTTATCCTACAGTAAACTGCTCATATGTCTTCATCCTAAATTATGCTAAAAACTGCTGCATAATAGGTATTTTTATTCCTTGGATTTTATGCCATAAACAAGATGTAAAAGACTTGGCAAGCTGTCCAGTCCATTTCCTTGACCATTTTTTGCAATTTATCCTGTAAAAAAGGATGTTGTACAAAAACCCAAAACAAAATTGAACATTGCTACTGAATTAGTAATTAACTCAAGCTGCTAAGAATCATTGCACAAGCATAAAAACACATGGCTAAAAAGGTACCTCCAGAGGTCATCCAGACTAGTGGGGACAAATCTTTTTGGTGGTGGGCCACAAATTAGCCACATTTCCTCCTGGATTACCACTCCCATCCCCTTCCCCTGCCTAACTGGCTGCTCTGCTTTCTGGTCCCTGCCCTTCCCAATATGCTGCTCGTTTTCCTGCTCCCTGCCCAATCTGTGACTATGCTGCTTGTCCCCTCCCCCATCTGCTGTGTGCCACACACAGGCTGCCCATGCTGCTTGTGGCATATGCTACAGGTCAAGCATGTCTGATCCAGGATAAGTATATAAATACCAGTATCTCTAAAGATGCACATGTCCCTGTAGCAATCTGACAGGATTTTTAAGAACTCTTAAAAAGTCATTTAATTCATTCGAATTTCTGCTGACATGCAGAGTTTTATAGAAAAGAATCATTCCCCCTTAACATTCCTTGTTAGGTACCAGCTAGCTGGACCCAAATGAAGAATATAGGCAATTAAAAGTTTCTTCTATGTAGCCTGCTTTTCAAAAATGGACAGGTAGGTTGAAAAGTTGTTACATTACAAACTTGGAACAAATCTAAATTAGTAACAGTTATAAAGGCATTACCCCTGACTATACATTCTTTTTTTTTTAAATACATAATCAGTTATAGTTATATATATGTACACACACACACACACACACAAGCAAACACACTCAGCACAATTAATTTGAGTCCTAAGTCACACGCAAACCAAATACATGCACAGGCACAAAGTGGTTGTGTGTCACCAGTCCAGTCAAACTGAGATGTTCAAAATGGAGGAGCAGCCTGAAGTGTTTTTAAAAAGCCAAACAGCCAGTTGTTAGAAAACCATTTATTAGTATTTTGAAAATGTTCATTACAGTCATGTGCAGTTAGCAAACATTTTGTCTTCAGCA